CCTCACAAATTAAGTTTTCCAATATTCAATTATCTACAATTTGTTTACAAAGCCTGAAGGCTTGGCAAATTGGTAGCCATCTTGGTTTTATGTACTTTGCTTAATTCTTTCTGGATCCTCAGAAATGTTTTTCAGTGAGTGTGTGTTAAGATAATCTATTCAAAATATGACTGCTAGCGATGCTTCTTAAACGGTCATAGCTCATCTAACATTCAAGCAAATCGGTTTCTTCACAACTTCTATATCAAGGAACTGGCTCACGGACCCATTTAGGATAAAATTCAACATGCATTGTGATTTGACAGCTCATAATATTTGAGACGTAACATTTTTTTTTCAAAGGTTCTTACTCATCACACGATAGCATATAAAAAAAGGTCACTTGAAGAAAAAAAACTTTACACTCCTGTTCTTTTCCTATAGCTATAGCAAAAAAAATGAGGAAGAGAAGATAAAAAAGGGTGATTTGGATTACTGGGACAGTTTTGCTGAAAGAACAATGGGACACCCCCTCAAATAGGCGTCATTTTGATGTCTTGCAGAGGGTATAAAGGTCCCACAAAGGGGCGCGCCCGCGCCTTTTAGCTATGTTCAGTATTTTTTAACCCATATAATTTTAATTAGGATGATGCCATCTTGGTAGTTTTATTGATGGAGGAAAGTGTTTGCAACTTAAGCTGTATACTTCAGGAAATTACTGCTCTTCAAAATGCAAGTTGGAGTCTTGTGGTCACTCATAGGTGTAACTACGGCTGTTGTCATTAAACAACCATTAAGATGGCAAGAACCCAGCAAAGTTAGTTTCAGATTTAATTTCAAGTTTTCTTTATTCCAAGGAAATCCTAGTCGCGTTTAGGTTGGTATGATAAGACAAGGAGTTTACATGAGTTACTTGAGAAAGATAAACCTCCTACGGGCATCTTCTCCACAAAGATTTCCAAACAAGGTAAGGAAGTACTTGACAGATTTTTTCGCTTCTAGAATCAGCTTTCTTCAGGCATTAGATTATGACCGCGAATACGTCTCAAATATCACTATCGGAACACCACCACAAGAATTTGTCGTAGTCCTCGATACTGGGTCCGCAGACTTGTGGGTACCCGGTACTATATGCGAGTAAGTTGTGACTAATATCAAAATTACTTCTGCAATTTAGTTTTCTCACTAAAGTCAAGCAGTAATGGAGATTTTTGATTTCTAAATAATAATAACTTCATCTGAGAAGAAGTTATTCGGCTTACCCCTCTCTGATCAAGCTTTTCTTCGTAGCAATTTTGTCGCTTGTATTTAGACTTGTATTGGAAAATAAAGAAACTTCAAAAATTATCGATTTAATTATAGCTACTCGTGTGATGGCAAACACAAATTCAATACCGACAGATCAAGCACTTATGTTGCTAGCAAGTGGCGATTTAGTGTTACCTATCGAGACGAATCGGACGCAATAGGTTATAGGGGCAACGACGTGGTTACGGTAACGGTTTCGGAACTAAATGAATATTGCGAAAGTCGCATTTGCCTAATTTTCCTTGTTTATTTCGCTGTAAATTGGAAAATTCTTTTAGTTAGGAGGAACTGACGAACCACATCTTGTGATCCCTAATAGCACATTTGGTTTAGCAAGACATCTCTCACCGCAATTCAAAAAGGTAGTATTCAGTTGACATCTCAGAACTGTCAACATTCTTATATGAATACAGGATCCAACAGACGGTGTTCTTGGACTTGCGTTTTCAACTGTTTCTTC